AGGTCTAGTCTCACTAGGAAAATCATAGATAACAATTAGTCTGGACTAGACAAAACATACACAATTGACACTTCGTTTACATGAGGTACAGTATCCATTGAAAGGAGAGTGTTGATAAAGCTTCAAAGTAGAAAAATCACTGATACGAACCGATAGAATTTCTTTTGCGGCAAATCGGGAACAGCGGTGCCTTCCAATGCCGGGACCCGTTGGTCCACTTCCATTTCCTGAAGTGGAATTTAGGAAGCAATCTAACGATAAAATCCACTGCAAAAAAACAGACAAATTCGGCTAAAGGTAAGTGATAGGGTAATCCTGCACAATCACCAAAACACACATACCGTATGAAAACTCTTCATTATTAAGTAACCTGAATAGAGTGAACCAGCACATAAGACAACCAACAATGACCGGTGCAAATACGAATGACAGAAACCCGATAGACGAAATCGACTTTCAATTAAAATAACACTGGTGAACATATAAGATACATTAATTAAAAAGCCTAAAGCTAACGAAGCTAATAAAGCTAATAAAACTGCTCTTTCAGATAGCTCAAGTACTCGCCTAGTCGCCCAGTGAGCACGATATGGCACCATAATCCCATGATGCGATGGCACATTCAAAACTTACAAAAGAATGGTTCCACGGAACTTTGAATGAAAACCTAAATACATCGGTAGACCCTCACTATTCGAAGCTTATGCCAGAATCTCAATTTGCTCAGAAACTTGTTCTAAAGAGCAGTTCGACCCCCTTTATACGAATGTAATAACATCTGTTTGACGCGAAAACGACCGGTTCTCTCCCTATAGGTGCTGCCAACAACAACGTGAAAAGTGCGAGGTGTTGATGTCTCCAAGAGGAGCGTTTTCAAGCTGAACGGTCGAAATATTCGCTAAATGGAAGTTAAAAGAAAGTGGCACGATAAATCTCTCAAGACGGAGTGTAGGAAGGATTAATACGCTCACAATGACAGTATTCGGCGCCCCTGAGCAGGCGCTGCGTGAGGTCTTTTCCAAAGAAGATACATTTGTAGCGCCCTATCAACCTGCAACATACGACCCCGACGCCCACCGGGCCCACCCGAACGTACATGTCCGACCGATGCTGATGCTTGTATTTCATTTGCAAAGTATTATGAAGCGAAGGGATTGATGTGAAGCGGTCACAGTTTTGCTTGAATATATGGGTATTTACTTGCAATCAAATCTACCGTAGCGGTTATTGGCACGATGCCAACGGGGAACTCCTCTGAAATTGCCTTCCGAGTAGCGTAGAACCAAAGCATTTTTCAGGTTTTTGACCCTTTCACTTCGCTTTTTCGCCATTTTCCCACTATATAGCTTCCCTGCTACCATTTTAGACCGAGTACAAAATTATCGTGCCTTATTACTTTAAACTACCCGGAGGCAATATTTCAGCGAATTCGGAATTTCATATTGACCTTGCTCCAGCGCCTGTCCAACTCGGAGCAGGGTCCGGCGTTTTGCAGTCAAAAGAAAGTGCTACTGTACAGAACACGCTCGACCACTTGAAGAGGAAAGTTGCTAGGACCGCGCGGGAAGAGAGATTGCCGGTCCCACTAATAAATCAAAAAGTTGGTAGTGAGTCAGTCCTGCAGATTCAATCACTTCAGTTTGACCAGTTCTTTTGTCCAGGACAGCGCACCACGATGTTTCCTTGATCATCGTACCGAATTCTTGGTATGAAGGGCTTCTTGGGACTTGATTTGAGGCTGGAAAGCATTGGATTTCAGATTTTTGTTGCTAACCAAACACGTGCTACATTCAATGTCCTAGAAGATGGGGAGGGCGTGACAGCGTACTTCATTTGAACCAGGCTTAGACTGCGTTTTTAATGGGATATTTCCCACTTTGAAACACGCTGTCATATTTCTTTTTTTGTTGGAACTATGATTGCAATTGTTCCACAACGGAAAGACTTCGATGAGAGTACAAGTTCGTGCCAGGTTCAAATGAAGCACGCAACCACACCCACTTCTTCCGCAAGATGTGGAAAGTACCTCTCTTCCAAGCGTTTCAACGTGATAGCGCTGGGATAGAAAATCTCCTCAGGATCCAAGTCGTACCAAGTGAACTCTTCGAGCTAAAAAATCAGATCGTCAAAAAAATGGATTCACGAAGTGTGTGGATAGGGTAGTTCTATACTCACAGGAGCCCTCCAGGATTAAATCATAGGCACAAATCAAGTTAAACGTTTACGTGTCGCCAGACAGTCTCTATCTAGTACATTCCATGATGCTGCCGACCGTTCTAGGTTCGACCGTAATTCATCCACACGGTACTCGTTTGCAATTGGCATATGGAGGACACGGTTGCTTTGCAATGGCGTATACATTTCCAGGTAATGCTGCGTTTGATTGGTTGCCCTTGGCATCCTATAAAGAAACGCTTTTCTGCGAAAAAAAGAAACCTAAAAATAAAATAACGCCATAGCACAATAACCTAGATAACGCTTACAGAATGATTATATTTTTAGCCTGCACTTTTGGTACTTGTTTATAGAAGGAGTTTTCTGAGCTCGCACGTTTTGACGAAGGCTCGTAGAAAGCAGTCTGCGGCGAGCGGTGATTTATGTCAGCAGTTCGGATCATACGCAGTTGGTCTAAATTTAGCATTTAAATCAGCATTCCAGGGAACACGTTTATTCTCAATCCTTACATGACAGCCATATTTGATTGTAATAAAATAAAAGTCTGACGACACGACACGAAGGACTTGAAAACATTCATCAAAGAAAATGAAACTTCGCCAACCATCTCTGCACTGACCGTTGCAAATTATCGTGAGATTCAGCAATTAGCAAAGTAGCAATTACGTTTTATTCGTACAACCATTACAGTATTGATGTTTCCTTTCAAATTTCCATATGGTTTGCGGCTCCATCCATGGTCGGTAGAGCCCCGTTCCTACTCACTGAAGAGAATAGGCGAGTCCCAGAATGTGCGCCAAGAGAAAGTATAGGTGATAAACAGGAGGATCGTGAAATCGCGAAGTCGACTTTTTGGAAGAATGCACTTTTCCTATTCTAAAGAAACGCTGGCTCCTGCGCCAGTCAATGCCCATCTAATGCTCGGGCACGTATTCTCCCAAAACATCGATTCAGCGATCAAGGCACGTCCTGCCACTAGGAAGGATTCCGCGAAATACGTCCCTCCACCTCGCAATTACACTCTAATTCGCTGCGGACGGTTGGGCGTGTCAGCCAGTATGAGTGTGTCACCCGTCAAAGCCGTTCTCTGCCTTCTTGTTGAAACGCGCATGCGACAAAAGTGGTAGAAAACGAGTAATACGAAGGATATGATACAGTATTGTCACTTGCCCGCTTCAACAACTGGTGGAGAACGAGTTTGGCACCGCGCCAAACGCAGCCGCACTGACACGCCCAACCGTCCGCAGTGAACTACACTATGCCTCTTCTGGCTCGACCTTCTTGTCCATTCCACCTATCACTTTCCAGAATTTCGCCAACTCCATACCTTTTTAATGGGGTTTGTCCCTAGAAAACTGCCGTTGATAGGGGCGGTAAGAAGGGGGGGGGGGCAGTATAGAGCACAATTGAAACATGTAGCACCTAGAACAGCCAATAGACGAAAACATTCTTGTCAAAGGCAATTGCGACTCTTTCGATATAGTCCCAGTGTACGAGGCAGCGTGACCATCATTATCCTGTTTTCACAAAACGCCAGGATATCTATATTTTACCTTGGCGCGCATTTCCAATACTTTCGAGTTGCAAAGATGAAGGAGGTCTCAAACAAATAGCTCTTCCTGTGAATCGCTCAACTTCTCCCTTCGTGAATGTTCAAAATGTTCGGTTGGCTGGGATTCGCTTCCCTTATGTGTGTTCTAAATGTCCAGTTTCCGGAGACAACGAGAGAACAAGGCAGGGTCAAGTCCTCTTGGGAAAGCAACTGTGCCTACATTTCGTCTATTGCTCTTTTATCTGTGAGAGGAGATCTCTCCAAAACGAGAACGAAAGTTTATGTTGAAATCAAGTCCGAAATGTTTCCGTGAAGATATCAAGGGAGTCCTGTGGTAGGTAAACATTGGGTTTACCACTATCAGTAATTCCGGTATTAGGACGAATGCTAAACTTGGCTTCGATTGATCTCGCAACCTAATGATAAATATTTCTTGAAAATAGAGAAATGGGTAGAGGAGACAGGGAGTCCAAAGAACACAAGCAAGCTCACCTGGTCTCTTTCTTCCTGGTTTTCCGACGTTCATCACTTCTTGACGACTGAGTTTTCTTACTAGACGATAAGAATCGGATTTCGCTTTTTCAAAACTTGTCAATAAAATCACTTGCGCACAATTGATTGTTATTTTCTCCGGTGGTTCATCGTCTCCAACGTCGAACTGCAGAACTGGATCCATTTCACTGTAATCCATAAGTAGAAGGATAATTCAATGATGATTAGGAAAGCTTTGAGAGGGAAGGTTTTCATTCAACAAAACAAATGGAGAGCATACATGAAAACTCATACTATATCTGTAGGTAAGAAATCTACGAACTGATCTCGATCGATAATGTGATATTGGGGCATTTTGTCGATATCCCACACCAACATATCGGTCAATTCTGTAAAGTTCTACAGAATCCAGTGAAACCAAGAAGTTTGGTGTCTCTTGCTTGGATATGATGCTTTAAGCATTATAAATGACGAATGATGGAAGACAACGCAAAGCAGCGATTTCACCACATCTTAGGCAGCGTTCATACTTCGCGACAGCAGCGGCGATCGCCGCGATCGTCGGTACGTGGCAGAGCGCGCCCCAACGCTATTATGGACTGCTCGCTTGATAAATAAGGAAATCCAACTTGTTAGACCTTCTTTTCTCTTAATAATGGCTACTAACTGATAACTTACGACTTTCTATACATAAGCGGATCTGGAATATGAGGTAAGGAGGTTTCACTTCTTTTTAGGTCGGATGAGGCCAACTCCATTTCCTGGAAGCTCCTCTTTGTTTCTTTTGTTTTTATTGTTTGGAAAGTCGTTTATATACACTCCATATATGCTCAACGAATGAAAAAAGAAACAATAAAAAACCTACCCTAAATGAAGCTCTCACGCTTTTTGCTCATTTCTATCCTGAATCAAGAAAGAAAATAGAAAACAAAAGCCATTAAGTTGGGTTCACCTTTTTGTGTCAAACCAAGCTTCAGTATCCTAAGAAAATTGCAGTTAAAGGAAAAAAAGCATGAAATTGAGTCGCTTCCCCAAAAGCCTTCGGAGCGCAAGTAATAGCGTTGGGGCGCGCTCTGCCATGTACCGACGATCGCGGCGATCGCCGCTGCTGTCGCGAAGTATGAACGCTGCCTTTGTGGTGTGTGGTAGTATGAACGCTATGAGCGCTTTGACCGCTCGATCGGTCCGATCATGCGACCCAAGCGATCAGATCGTGAAGTATGAACATACCCTAAAGTATTTGAAAACTCTTCTTGTGCAGAGAGTTTCGTTTCCGAACACTCAGGCAAAAAATCCCCGCCTTCTTGGCACACAAAAGTTCAGCTGCGTTCATACCTTGCGACAGTGAGGATTTCGGAGATCGTGCAGAAAAAAATATACGTATCGATCCGATGTTCGACGCTTTTGGCGATCCATCGCCTGGTCGATATCTGTCCAACTTTCTGAGCACAGTGGACGAAAACGTTGAAAAATTGTGAGATGTGAACGCAGCCTTTTCGCAACTTATAGCTCTACAAGCCATTCAGCAACTGATAACAAGAAGCGGCGTAGAGATGGCACCGATACCCTAGTGCAACTTCATTGAGTCTACCGAATTGCTGGACTGTGTTACATTGATACATCGGCAAGAATTAACCCCCCCCCACCGCGGATCTGTGCCTCAGATTGTAAAATAATGATGACCGCAAGGTTTGCGAATACTGCAGCAAAGCTTGTTCCGCGCTGCCTATGAAGCGGCAGGGGTGATCCCGTGACCATGTGAGCCAAATTAAGTGAAAGTTTTAGTGAACTGCTTAGAGTTAAGTGAGATCCAGCCTAATTTCGAGGAAGGAGCAAAAAAAGGAAAGAGGAAGAAAAATGGAAGGAGATAGGAAGATCCTCAGCTAACAGATGTTCTCCCTTTACGTAAAGACGAGGGATGGAACGAACGAACGACTGTGAGCAAGGGACTACGGATTTTCACATAAGTCCAAAGGAAGAATCTCCGTTGTGGATAATCTACTTCCGCTCATCTCATTGGAATAGCGCCGTATATTCAGGCACATATAAGCCTCTATGCTATATTTCGTATAGCATAGAGGCTTATATATCTCTTGGAAACAGTGAGAATAAAGGAAATCGACCAGGGACCTGATTCGAAATCATGCAAATTGACAGGCGGACTCTGATTCGAAATCATGCATGCAATGATTTTTTTGCCGACGACGCTCCAATGCGCGCCAGTAGACTGCAGGCATAACAACTCGTCCGCACAGCGAACGTCGCGCGAACGACTACCTGTTTATTTGCACTCCTACGGGTTTCTTACATTCCCTTTTCAGTTGTTCAATGGTCATTATGTGGTAAAAAGCGTGTAGTTCTGAAACAGAAGGCTATTAATTCAGTTGGGAAAGACTTGACCATCAGAATTCCTTCTAAGGCTTAAAATTCTTCTGGTTCTAAACCCTGTACTGGAATTTTATGCTCTCTATATTCCTTTAAGATAAAGAGATACGATTCATGTCATCGCGCCGAAAGACCAGGTTTCCCGGCTCCATTTTCGTGACTGCGCTAAGCAGCAGCCAGCTCAGGCTCTGCGGCAACTTTGCAGTGATTCAGTAGGGTATTCGTCTGTTCTTTGACAACAAACTGACTGCTTCTGGAGCTCTTCTGGACTCCAGAATGCCGTCGACGTCGTCGCGGTCGCGTCGGACGGACGTCAGCGCTCGCGATGACCGCACTCTATTCGTCAGGCGATCGATGCGGGCGTTTCGCGCTCGATATTGGCCCGATATCCTCTCGGTGCTATATTGACAACTATTTGGAGACACCCTCAAGTTGCCCTAACGAATATTCTTCTGCGACCATTTTCTTAATTTACCCTTCCTCTCTTGGTTGGCTACTTTTAAAGTTGTTACAAATATGGAAAAAAATTCGAAGTTTTTTCCTCGGGCTAGAACTTAACAGCTTCTATTTTTTCTCCACAGAACCGTTACATGGATTACTTTCTACTTTTCATATAGTAACAAATCGTCTGCCTTAGTTCTTTTATAGTTCATCAAAACATTGCTAATTTTTGGAACCGGAAGTTGACACGGTAAGGGTGGCTTGATTGGGAATAAGGCTAAGCGAACATTTATGTTTTCCTGTTTGTTTTCTTTAATTGTCAAATTAAAATCATGGGTTCTCGGGTACCATTACGTTTCAGATTTCATAGCGTTTTACTCGCATGAAATTCTGCATAGTGCTGAATAATCCTTATTGTTGAAACGCTCCTATAACCACACTTTCCATACTCTATGTAGCTCTATAGTCAATAACTAACTCTATATCTTATAAAAATTTGTGGCTGTCTTGTCGAGTGAGGAAGAAAGTATGCCCAGAATGTCATCCCATAAGAGTTTGAAGGAGTTTCGCTCCAATAACACTCGAGAGAAACTGGATTAGTTTTTCTTCCTTTTATTTTAATCCAGAAGAATTTCTTCTCCGGTACCTAGAACGGGACTCACGTTTTGTCTTCACGCAACAGGAACAACGAGTAGTAGTTCTACTAGAAAATCCGATGATAAATGGAATGACAATTCAAGAAGATTTGCTATCCTCCGTTGAAACGTCCGTCTAAAATACAGCGCAGCTTTTCAAGACGAGTCTGCTACAAAATAATTTTTTTCAAAAACTTGAGTTCTGTTCGTGCTTATTTTCTCATCTGATTTTTTCATGCTTTAGGAAATAAATTTTTTTCCTGTTCGCCACCACCTGCAAGTTCGATTTGTGCGTTTTCGCCAGTATCACACCTTATTTATTTATTTATTTGTTGCACTCTTGGGTGCGACAAATTTTTGGTTTCTTGAGCGAAGCAAACAACAAATAAACGCATCTAAAGCAAATGCATCTTTTGCAGTACCTTTCTGAGCGACTAGGGAAGTATAGGTATCGACCTAGCCTTTTTAGCGCCCGCCAGCATTTCGAGCGTTTTGAGCGATCAAAAAAGTATGGACATCGATTACTTGAGTGACTAGGGGATGGAGGTATCGATTATCGCGGGAAACCTTGGCGTTTAAGACGCTGGATCGGTATCTATACTTCCCTAGTCGCTCACAACGCAGTCGCAAAGTATGAACACCAAAATTTTAAATTTTGAGCACATTTGTTCAGAGCCACTTTTTCAAATTGAACGAACCTTCAGTTTCCGACATTAAACTGCTCACGTGGGTAAACAGTTGTTGCCCTTCGGTAGCCCTAGAAGAAAAGTTGTTGTTCGTGATCGTGAAGTTCTAAAGGTATGACGGAATGTTTCTCAAAACGGACGTGTGATTGCTCATTACCTACGTTACCGTTGTGGGAAATGTGTGCGAGTCAAGGCCATTCGTTCAATATCTCTGGTTCTTTATCATGTTACTGCTGCGCTCATTCGATTGGGAACGAAATGCTTAGGGAGTTTTCAAAAGTTTTATACGTCAGCCTATATTTAGTTTTAAACGTCAGGCGAGCCAATTCAGTTTAAAATTCGAATAGTTCTACCCACGCCTTTTCGTATTTGCCGAATTGGTTAGAAAGAAGCTTCTTCACTGAAGGCTGGAGCTGGACTGTTTCGCACCATTGCCTTTACTTCACAAACCCTTAAATTGTTAAAATTTTAATCAGTACCTTTATCAGCAAATTACTGTTATTTGGGCTCTGTTGACGCTAACATTCGCATAAGGTTGCGCTTACACCCTGCTTCATCATTTCGAGCGACTGGGAAAGTATAGCTATCGATCCAGCCTTTTGGGCGTTTCGCGGGCAGTCGCTGGAAACGCTGGCATGCGCATGCGCTCAATCGATATCCATACTTTCCTAGTCACTTGAGGCAGCGTTCAGACTTCGGGAAGCGCTTCGGTCACGCGTATGACGCGATCGATGCAGTCGAAACATGTGCATGATTACGTGACAACTAAAACTTTTGGTGGGGGTCCTGCCACGATAGGCCAGAGCGCAGAGCAATAAGGGACTGCTACTGCCAAGGCATCGTGAGGTACAAAAAACACGATGCGAGCCAGGAGATGAGTTTTTTCGAGGGGAGGGGACACCGGGGTGGAGCCACTTAGTATGCGTGAAAAGTTGGAATGTGAAAGGTCAAAGTGGCCATAAATCGCCATTCAGGCAAGAGAGCGCAGAGAAGAACAGAAAGTTGGCGCCATTAAAGGGATTGAGTTTTAGTTGTTCCGTAGACCGTACCGA